ATATATATATATATATATATATATATATATATATATATATATATATATATATATATATATATATATATATATATATATATATATGTTATATATATATATATATGTATATATATATATATATATACATATACATATATATACATATATATACATATATATATATATATATATATATATATATATATATATATATATATATATATATATATATATATATATATATATATATATATATATATATATACATGAATATATTTATTCACATAAATATATAAGTAATATACATTTTATAAAAACATTTTATAAGGTTCCCAGTGTCTGTAAATATTTTAAGATGTTTTTCCCTGATTTTCTCTTGAAATTTTTTTGATTAAAGTTACTCAAACTTAACTTCAGAAATATTAGTCTAATAAAACCCACATTTAAAGTATCAAGAGAAGTTCATAAAACCATCTGCTGAACAAAAGTTTATATTACATGTATAATTTATAACTTACTTAAGTTAAGTAATTTGATGAAAAGCCTTTTGCCCAGATTTACCCCTGTTTTTTATAAAAATACACGCAATTTCCCTAATTATTTCCAGATTTTTAGCAATTATTTGAATTTCCTGAATTTTCCCCGTTTACCCTGATCTGGCAGACACCCAGAAGTTGTTAAAACAACTTCAATTTGACCACAACTCTCAGTAAGAACAGGTTTTTTAAAATTGATTATATTATGATAACTAAAATCATGAAACAGTCTTTGATCACAAATAATAAGCAATAGATCAGAGTAATAAACTCTAGATAAATAAAAATGTTGGCAAATTGCAAGTAAAAGAACACATTGGCGAAACTAAAAAAATTGAAAGTAAAAGAACACATTGCAAGTAAAAGAACACATTGGCGAAACTAAAAAAATTGAAAGTAAAAGAACACATTGCAAGTAAAAGAACACATTGGCGAAACTAAAAAAATTTAAAGTAAAAGAACACATTGCAAGTAAAAGAACACATTGGCGAAACTAAAAAAATTGCAAGTAAAAGAACACATTGCAAGTAAAAGAACACATTGGCGAAACTAAAAAAATTTCAAAGTTTAGTGTAAATGATTTAAAAATGAGTTTCAAAATAAAACTTAAAAACCACTCATGTAAAATATGAATCAAAAATAACTTAAAAATCACTCATGTAAAATATGAATCAAAAATCATTGCTTTAAATTTTTTTTTTCATATATATACATTTATATATATGTATATTTTTTGTACAATTTTTATATTTGTGTATTACCATATGCAGCATTTTTGTATGTATATAATATGAATTTGGATTTATAAATATCATTAATACTTTATTTTTTTATTATTTATTTTGATGATTAGTATTTTGATTTTTTTGTAGAATACAAACTCAAAATATAAAAATTATAAAACTGTTATTATTTTACATAAATTTGACTCTCATTCTAGAGTCAAAACTCACTGTGATTTATTTTCTGGTTGGAATCCATATTTTAAAAACTTTTTATTTAAAGATAACTTAAATTTATTGTTTATTTTTAAATTATTATTATTTATAGTTTAATTTAATCATCTTTAATGAACAATAAATGGTAAATTAATTTTTTTTTTCAAAATTTCGATTCAAGATTGAAATTTAATGTTGTCATCACTATTATTGTTATGACATCATTATCTAACATGATATATAGCAAGATAAATGGTGTTCACAGTGAAAGATTATGTATATAAAAGTTTTTATTTTTTTATTTTTATTTACTTTAAATACTCAACAACGTTTTCTCAACTCAACTCAATAACGTTTGCAAAAACCTTTTTTTTTATTTTCATATTAGAAAATACATTTTGCTGTTTACTAACAGCTGTTTGTATAATTTAATGTAATCAAAAAGGAAATAATATAAAAAAATTTAATATGAAATAAAAACTTAATCTTATAACTTTAAAATTGATATTTACAAATTATTTAAATTTTGAATATGTCTTTAACATTAATTAATGGTACAACATTATAATTTCATTGTATAAAAACATAATTTCTTGATAAATAGTGATTCACAACTTTTATATTTTATTATATTTATAGATTTTCTTCATTTAGAATTTACTGTAAAAACAAATAAAGCAAATTATTAACAAACAAATTAAATAAAGCATAAGAACCTGAAGCTTAACATTGCCATTTTTTTCAATAAGATATTTTGTGTTGGGGTGTAAATAGGAAGCATGTTGAATTTTCACAAAAGGTGACAATAATATTGTGATAGAGATTTTGATCACAGAAGTATTGTTTTCATATATGTCGCTTGTGTTAATATTTTGCAGAAGAAATGAGTATTCTATGGTATCATTGACTCTACAAAACAAACAGGTATAAAGTTTATATAAATAAACTTACATCATAAGTATAGTAAAAATAATTCTATAACTTCTTAAAAACATCAATAACACACTGGATTAAAAATAACAGCAATTTATAACTACAAAATACCAGTGAAATGGCCAGTGAAACATGTTTATTTCATAAACCAGTGAAACATGATTATTTTAATCTTAATCTTGCACAGAAAATTTTTTTGCAGTCATGACAACCTGATGACTGCTTACAACATCAACCTGATGACTGCTAACAACATCAACCTGATGACTGCTTACAACATTAACCTGATGACTGCTTACAACAATCATTCTGCAGTTATCATTGTGATGACTGCAGAAAATAAACATTTTGCAAAAACTAGGCTGATTAAATTTCAGAAAAATATACATTTATTTTTTTCTGCTTATTATTTTTTTGTCTTATCTTTCATGATGGCAAAAGTAAATCTTTCTTAAAACATTTTATTAATTACTATGACCATCATCATTTTGTAATAGACAAAGTTTGTAAGTACAAGTAAAAAGTTATTTGTTATAATAAAATATTTGTGAAATTTTTAAAGCAAATCATCAATTAGAGTTCAAAGTAGATACAATTGAAAAGAGTAACTTATATTTTCATTGTTTTGAGAAAAATAAAAAACAAAAATTATCAGACATTTTTTGAATATCAAAATTTTTGATTTCAATCGTTTTGAAAATGAGTTTAGCAATATTAATTTATATTTTTAATGAGACACAAAAAAAATGGGCTTAATTGAAAGCTTTAACAGAACACTTTTGGTTCATGGACCATACTTTCCAAAATCTAAAATCTAAACTGTAATCAGAGTACTAAACTTCAGTAGAATCTACTTCTATTTCCAGTGGTGGATTAAGACTTCTTAGGACCCGCGGCTATTTTTGTTTTTGGAAGCCTATTTATGACTTAAAAAAAAAAAAAGGTCCTCTAAAACTTTTGGGGGTCCCTAAATTTGTGGGGTTGGGGACTATAGCCCCCTCTTGATCTGCCACTGTCTAATTCTTCTTCCATACTATCACTAACCAAATCTTCATTACTTTCAAACATTGATTAGGAATATAATCTTTTGGTATATAAACACAATCCATCACAGCAAAATCTAGCTCATGATTATGGCAAAGTTGATTTAAAACGCCTTACATACTACCATATTTTTTCATTATGGCTGCTAAGTGATGTAACAACATCATTTTTTAAGAAAATTAAGTTTGCCAATTTAGCTTCAACCATATGCTTAATTGTTTCTGCATTTGCCAGCTTAATTATTTTTGTCAAATCCAGCATATAGCAACCAATTGCATTTGTTTTTATTCCAAGCATATGAAGTGTTACAGAAAATTATTAAAGCAAGAACATTTATAAGCAACTTAAACAACTAACTGTGTTTTAAAAACAAACTAATATATAATACCACACAAATAATACCACATAAATACCACACAAAATAAAAACCATACAAAAGTGTTTTGCTTCTCCACATGAAAGCTATATAAAAAATTTTTTTTTATTGATATATATAAATTTTTAATGATATATATAAAACTTTTTTTAATGATATATTCTTTTTAATTATAAAGTTTACATTATATTTTGCTGCAGATGCTGAATGTATCTTATCATTTTTCTTCAAATGTTTAGAAAAAAAATTTGAATATCAAATTATTATAAAACATGCAAATATACTTAAATATCAAGTATTTAAACACATAAACTGGATGGTCTACTTAGCTCCCTTTTAGAAAAACGTTCATTAATTGTATTCATTAATTGTATCTCAGAAATTAATTGTATTCATTAATTGTATCTCAGAAATTCAACTTATATAGATTTATATTTAAAATTTTAAAGAAACAATATATAGATTTATATTTAAAATTATATAGATTTTATATAGATTTAACTTATATAGATTTATATTTAAAATTTTAAAGAAACAAGGACACTTAGGCACAATTCAAAACAATTTTTTTTTCAAGTTTTTACTTGCTAAAGTGATTTAAAAAAAAAAGACACCATTTAAAGATGTCTAAAAATATAAAATTTGAAAATCTAATTTTTAAGTTTACGTATAAATCACCTTTATATAAATCACCTTTCAGCAACAAAGAAATTTATTTAATTTTACAATAATTGTATTGCAAATTTGAGTTCACAGAATTATTAATTTTTTAAAGTTATAAAATCAATTCAGAATTTAATTTTTAAAGTTTACATTGTAAAAATTAAAAAAAACAAAACAAAAAAAAACTCAAGTACTATATGTACTAAGTGCAAAAACTCAAGTACTCAAGTTCTTAACTTACCTTTCATCTGTTAAAAAAAATGTTCTGAAAAAACATTTAATAGTTTTTGCAGTATTAATAAGTTTTATTACTAATTTTTGATATTGTTGCTTTTGACTAAAACCATTCAAAAAATCGTTTAAAAATACCAAAGGTGTTTCAAAATTTATTTGTTTGTTGATAAATAATATTGATTTTTTATAAATTTTTTATCTAAATGATTTTATAATATCAAAACACCATGTTTTTCAGAAAAAATAAATTTTGTAATGGTGTCACAATTTTTAAATTTTTTTTCCTAAAACATATACTTATTTAAATCTAAATATTCAATTCAATTTTATCAAATTTTATTTACTAATATTTACAAAACAAAGCATACCTTGTTTGTATTGGAGCACTTGGTTCGTTGAGAAATTGAAAGTTTAATGTGGGAAACTAAATATAATTAAAATAAACACATTTAGAAAACAGTCATGAGACATTAATTATTTTAATTGTCTAATATTTTTCAAAAAAGAAGATGAATTAGGAGAAAGATTTTGTGTTGCTATGTTGTATACATAATACTTCAAGTATTTAAAAAAGAAATACAACTAGATGTTTTCTCCCTGATACCTGTTTTGAGTGGATGATTTTGATTAGAGAATTAAAGAACCTTGTATTTGACGCATTACTTCTCAATCCTGTGTACCTTAACCAAAAAGGCGTTCATAATTTATAATAAATACTTTATAATAAAGTGTGAATGACTTTTTGTTTAAGATAAACAAGACTGAGAAATAATTCGTCATACAAGGATCTTAAATTCTCTTTGTCAAAACCATCCACTCAAAACAGGTATCAGATGGAAAACATCTGTATAAATTATACAATTACTCTATAAATTATATGATGATTTTTATCCATATAAATTAAAGGATTATATGATTTAAGCCATATAAATTATATAACCTTTTTAAATTTTTTTAATTTCACATGAGTGATTCAACGATCCCTTAAGAAGTCAAACCATTTTAAGTCATAAAATGCGGTAAATTCTTGTACATCAACAACAAATATTTTTTTAACATATAGGAATCAACTATGTAATTAAACCATTGGAATGTTTAAACAGTTTTTTTTTTCTTTTTTGTTGCAAGGAAACTAAACACTAATATTAAATTTTCAACAACGTTCTGAGCAAAATGGAGTTCTTTTTTTAACAGATTCTTTGTAGAAAAATTCAGAATGAATAAACTTAGGAAACTAGAGATAGTTAATTATATTACCAAATAGCAGATAAGTGACATAAACTATTGTTTTATAGATGCGGGCAGTTTTGTCTCTCTTGGCAAAAAACAGATTCATTCCCTATTTTCTGAATTTACTTATACAGTTACAGAAAATGGGTCAAAAAATGCAAAAAGATACAGTTTTCAAAACACTAATTGTTTTGAAAACTGTATCTTTTTGCATTTTTTAGTGACTAATAGTGTTGAAACCTGTATTTTTATGCACTTGTTTGAATATATTTTTGAAAATATTTGTTTTGTTTGAACTTTGAATTTTTGTTTGAATTTTGAATTTTTGCATTGTTTAGAATACCTGTATTTAAAACTCAATTTGATAAGTTTAAGAGGGTAGAGTGCTTATTTTAGTCTATTTTTGTGTCATCATAGTTTGTTCTAGTCACTCAACTAAAAGAGAAAATTAAACAGAAACATAAAGTTATTTGTGTCTAGACTAAGTAATTTAAGTCTAGACTAGTATTGTTGTATAATATGTTTACATCATTTTTTTACCGTCATCATAGTTTGTTTTTGTCACTTTACTAAAATTAAACAGAAAGATTTTTTTATTGGATATTATTAAAATTTAAAAAAACTTTTTAAATTTTAATAATGTCCAATAAAAAAAATCCAATAATAGTATAAAATTCTAGTGAATCATTGGAATTGTTCCACAATTTATAAGATTTTATTTTATCGCATATGCGCAGGAGTAAGAAATTTGTAGAGGTAGAGAATAGAATCAGGAGTAAGAAAATAGCAAGCACGATAAAAAGAAACAACTTTAACAGATGTAATTTAGCTATCATTTGTATATAAGGTTTCTATTAGAGGAAGGTAGTGAATGATAATCCAAGAAGAGGAGGACTCAGTAAGAAGGTTGCTATATGGGAATGTCGACAGAATTGCGAATAATTGCGACAGCATTGCGATTGTTGTTTGAAGTAAATAACTGAGTTTTATTAGAGTTAAAATTCACAACCCACTGCAAACCCCAAGTTGTTGCAGAAGTGAAGATCAAGAGTCAAGATCGGCTGCCCTTTCTCAGCGATTGAAATTAGAACACTTTTTAAAGTACCCACCAATACTAAAATCTGAAGATGTAACAGTCAAATTTAATTTAGTCTCACAAAAAGCAAGCAATTCTGGTGAATTTTGCAAGAGTTAATGTTCAACTGATGGAAGGTTAAGGTCTTTATTAGCCTGATCTTAGATGACTTTATAGTTTTGATTTTGTTAAAGGAACTGTCATATCAAAGGATTTACTAATAGTTTTAATATGTCAATTAGTAAGTTTCAAACGTCATTCTGGGCATTTCCATGTGAATTTCGCTGATTTTTAAACCATTTAAAGATTTTTATAAATTTTGCCCAACCCCAAAATTTTATTATTAACTCTGACCAGTTTCAATGGTACTAGTGGGCACGGACGTAAAAGAGACGTCTTTTAAACGTCTGATTTAAAATTAAATTAGACGAATTAATAAAGCTGCTGACCAAGGAGAGTCTCACAGAAGCATTGGAAAGCGTTTTAAACAAGAAATCTCAACTATTAGTAGATTGATATAGAAATATAAACACACTGGTAAAATTGAAAGGACTGTTGGATCTAGGAGATCTCCGTGTGTTTGTATTATAATGGTCGATCTCACTGTCGGAAATTAATTCCAACAGTGAGATTTGAAATTAATTCCAATAGTTTGAGGATTGAAAAATTCAATCCTCAAACGTGCAAGACAACTATTAAACATGACAAAAAGATTAAAGTCTGGTATCGTTTTAGTGCACACAAAGTTGGAAAACTTTTCCGGGTAAAGGGCATCATAAACCAGCATTTGTATCACAAAATCTTAGTTAATTAGCTTGGACCAAGTAAAAAAGAACTTTTTTCTAATGGTGACTACATCTTTTAACAGGATAATAATCCCAAACATACAGTACGATTGAATAAAAGATATCTAGAATCTAAATTGATACCGGATATGTCTTGACCAGCGTTATTAAAAAGACTTGTAGATAGTATGCCTTCTAGATGCGCGGAAGTCATAAGAAACAAACGATGGCCAATTAAGTACTAAAACAGCTTCAACCTAAAAAATACTTTACAAATCCTAATTTCTTTTTATTATATGTAATAAACAATTATATTATAAACATTTTTGTTTAAATTAGCCTATATTATTTTTATTATACGAGTTTTGAACATTTGTTGTTGTTGTTTTTATAAAAAAATTAAGTGTGGCCTTTTTTTGCACCCCGACTGTATATATATATATATATATATATATATATATATATATATATATATATATATATATATATATATATATATATATATATATATATATATATATATATATATATATATATATATATATATATATATATATATATATATATACTTTGCTATGACCCCACTTTTGCCCCATGCTTGGGTCAAAGTGGGGTCATAGCAAGAACTCGTGTAACAATAAAATTATTGACTACTTATGCCAAGCTCACGCACAAAGTTTGGATTTTTTTTTTTTTTTCCTGAATCCCGGCACAGGAATAGTGAGCTCACTATAACAAACCCAACTTTCAGCGCTCGAGGAATAGAGCTGCTCACAATAAAGGAATGCCTAGTCTTTATTTGATTATTTTTTTAAAGATTCATACTGCGTGGCTTTTTTGGGCTTTTATATGTCGTTTTTTTTCTTTTTAGCCTCTAGTAATGCTTTTTTATAAGGCAACGCCTGTGTCATTGGTGTCACTTTTGGGACTGACATCAAATGATGTGGAGAAACAGTAAAACTTGACCCAATATCTACACCAGATGCATATTTATAATGGCTTTTCGAAGGCTTGTATAGAGCCTAAAGAGAGAGCAGGTGCGGAGTCAGTACTCGAACTCAAAGCACCAAGTGAGGTTTTAACAATTACAAGTTAAAGTTAAAACTAAGTCAAAAGCATTATACGTAAATTAATTAAATGATTTTAAAAAAGTACAAAGTAGAAATTAGAAATTAGGGACGAAATGGAGAATAATCACATTTTGCCCCGTTAAAACTGACTTATTTTACCCTGTTTGTGACACATTAAAATGCATAATAATCGTAAATGGGTTGATTGTATTGTTAAAATAAAGGCCTTATTTGTTGACAATAATATATTATTCACATAAAATATCGGTATTAGTTCAAGACATTAATTGTTAAGTGCCAGTTTCTTAAGTCGTAAATTAAAATGATAAACGAAAAAAAGATAAACGAAAAATTAAAAAAGATAAACGAAATAAATACGAGATAAAAATAGAAAGAAATATAGAAAGATAAAAGAAATGCAAAAATTTGCACTTATTTTGTTAAAATATTTTTTTTTTCTTTTATTTCTTTTTCTTTTAGGTGCCTTAAAAAAGGTCTTCTTCCATACCAATGTCGCTAAATATCTAGAGCACGCATCGAACCTTATAAATCATCGAGCTTATAAAGCAAGTCCTCTAACTACTGCGCCACGGCCCCTTAAAATCTGTTTTTAAAAGTTGATATTCATTTAACAAGAATCAGTCTAGCTGTTATTATGAATTTCTGAGTTGTTTTTTCACATTTTGATCTCTGAATCCTTAGTTTTAATTTATTTAATGTTTGCTTGAAAAAAGCAAATATTAAATAATTTTTGCTTTTCATCCTTATATTAAATAGTTTAATATTAAATTTTTGCCATATTAATAGTAAATTAGGTGTTTAATAACGTAAAACAACAGCAAGAGCGGTAACAAATCGTTTAGATGGAAAAAACGAGATATGAGAAAGCTGTTTAAAATGCTGGTACACAAGTATTACCTCTTTGAATAATAAATGAGTTAATTAGTTAAAATTAAGAGAAGTTTATCACATAAAACTATGGTATGCCAGACACGGAGGACAGGACTTGGTATCAAATATTCTTGGTTATAACTTATATAGAAAGGATAGAGATGCGAGAAAAGGTCGTTGAGTGTGTATGTATATTATTGATACTCTGCAATTTTTTGATAGTTCAAATATTGAATTTCAAAGTACATAATTAAAATAATTTAGTGTTTATACACTTTTATAAAAATTTATATGCGGTTGTATATATTGAACAGGAGTTAGCGACATATACAACTCCATAAATATTATGAGGTTGATTAATGCAGCTGGCAGTATGATATTAAGTATAAAAGCATTTCTTATTCTCATTTGCAAGGATTTTAAATATCCCCAAATCGACTTAAATAATTTTGTCTGTAAAGTAACTGGAAAACATGAAATAGCCCAGTTATTTTCAGATGCATTTTCCGAAATGTAATTAAACCAACATTTTTTCATCAAGGTAACATATTTTTTTAATAACAGAAAATAATTTAGAACTTTCAATTTAGCGCAACGCTCGCTGTTTCAACATGTATTAAATGAACATTGTTCTTTTTGCTATAACTTTAGCTTGTCAATGATTTCAAATAACAACGACAACTGTGTATTGCAAGACGATTTATCAAACCTTATCAAATGGAGTACACTTTAATAAAGAAAAATGTAAAACTATGTATTAAATTTATAATCGAACAATAAAAATCACTACACTATTTTAAAAACATCGTTGAAGCAAGATTTAGGTTTTCCTAATATCAAATAAAAAAGAAATGAAAAAACCAATTTAGTATAATTTCAGAAAAAGCAGAGAGAATACTCGGTCAAATAAAACATTTTTTTCAATAATAAAAACAATTATAATTATTTATTTTTATTATAAAAACTTCTTTTATTAAGTTTTATAATAAAAACTTAATAAAACTGCTGTATAGCCTTCATATAGAATTTGTTAATTTGGAATCTTTATTTAAAAAAAAAAAAATCAAAATAATATACTAAGTACAACAAAGAAGAATAAGAATCAAATGTTTAAACTGTATGTGTTATAAAGAGCGATTAAAAATAGTTGACTGCGTTAGAAAAACGAATAGAAAGGAAAAATAACCATTGACCAGAAAACAGATACTAAAAAAACTTTTTAAATTTATCCAAATCAGTATTTCGCCAGCATTGCAACTAATATCATTTAACTTTTACTTTGTTGACTCCCCACACAAAGACAACAACGCAATGAAATCAACCGCTGACTAAACTGAGCGTTTCAGCAAACTTGTCTATCAAACAAAGTTAATAAAATTCACCCTGCAATGTTTCTACATGCAATATTATCAACAAGAAAATAACACCAAATATTGCTAATAACTGTATTTAATTATATGATTTTATGTTTTTTCTATCCAACACCCAACTACAGTGTTTCAAACCCATCTCAAAACTCAATTAAAGTATTTTATTCATGCCTTATTCAACTCTCAATTACGATATTTCAAGTATACTTCATTTAAAACTCAATTGAGATATTTTATAGTAGGAAAACCTGAAAAATATTATAAATAGTAATTGAGACAATCTTTACAAAAAAATGACAAATTACCGGTATATTGTAATTTACGAGAACGAAAATTAGCTATTTAAATGGAAACCAGTTTTACATTCCATAATATATAAACATGTGTGTATATATATATATATATATATATATACATTTTTTTTTTAAAACACCAAATGGGTATACAAATTGCATACAATAATTTAAAATGGAGAGAATGATATAATTTTAACGATTAAATAAACTTATTTTTTAGGAAGACGTTGACCCATTCGTCCTGCCCGTGTTGTATTTACTAAAATAACTGTTAAATAAATATTCCAATTTTTAAATTTATATTTACTAACTCTGATTTTTATTATTCAAGTAAATATTCTATTTCAACATTTGAAAGGTGCAAATAGGACGAGGCGGGTAGGGAGGGGGGAGGGAGAGCATGTGCTTTCCTGTGCTCCCCCCCCCCCCTACGGCTCTGCTCATATAAATTATGTTTGGTATATTATAGACATGTATATTATATACGGTATTTACATATATTCGGGACTGTAATACCGGTATATTGGTATTACAATCCGTAACATATGTATGAGTTAGGAATTGCAATCCCTAATAAAAAATTTTTTTATTCAATGATAAAATGGTTGTAAGAATTTATACTAAAAAACTTTGTAGCCTATGGTAAAAATGTTTAATACAAATAATTATTATTTTTAACAAAAATAAAATAAGAGAATATAAGCAAACATCAATTTAAAAGTACGGAGTGAAGGTAACATGCTACAAGCAATTCTCTCCGTGATAAAAAATGACCAAGGATATAAAAAAACTGCCAAAGTATATAGTGTACCAGAAACTAACTTCGAAAAAGCTTTTTGGACTCATTTGAGTTCAGAAAATTAGCATAAGAGCTTGCAGTTAGAAACACAAGGAAATAGTTTATAATAATGCCCTTGACATTGCCGGTTAAAACTTGTATAAAGTTTTCATTTAACATTCAAACATTCCAAGGTTTTTCATTAACCTACTTATCTTGCCACAAACTTTACCAAGTGTCTGTGGATTTTTTAACTAGAAGATGTTATGGAAATAAACAAGCTGTATGTTGGAAACATCAGGAACTATAACAAAGCAGGTATTTGTACAGTTTAAAGTGTTCTTCTTCTTTTAAAATTGTTTCATCAAAGGGAAAAGTCAAGTTATTTTTCATACAGAAAATGATTGAGATGATAACAAATGATAGAGATAATAAAAAATGATAGAGATAATAACATATGATAGAGATAATAACATATGATAGAGATAATCACAAGTGATAGAGAACAAGTCCTGGACCGCAATAATAAATGATAGAGAACAAATCCTGGACGCGCGGTCACTCAATCTCAAAAAGCAGGCATATGGTCAGTTGAAAGTTTTTTTTTCTAAAACAGATTTTCTAGCAGCAGAAACTCGTGAAAACAGTTTCATTAAAATAAAAATTTGTTGCTAATATAGGTGACAGGAAATAATTTGGCACCTCTATGCTTCTATTAATCTGAAAGTACCAGCCACTCAATAATTTTTATAACGCAAATAATTGATTTTAGCGGCAGTCTGAATGTTTCCAACGTCCGCACAATTGCACCTACAAACCAATTATCTGACTTAACCAGCATAATGTCCACTTCCAGCATTTTAATGACTTATCCAAGCAATACTAATACCAGTCGTTGCAAACGAGTTTGTCAAGATAGAGAGGAAAAATTTTAATCTTGAACTCCTCTCCATATAGAGCCTCGCTATTAAATACTCTGAAAAAAAAGTCAAATGCATAAAAAAAAAGGAGAATGAAACACAAAATCGGTATGTATATATAAAATTAATTAAAAAAAAGATTCTGAAGTAAATGTACCAAACACTGCTTTTAAAAAGAGGAAAATGGCAAAAAAAAGTCAGACAAAGACTGTATTTTTTTACCTGGCAATACTGTCAAGAAAGTTACTTTAATAGTGTTAAAAGTTGGATTTCTTGTAGTGGTCGCCATAACAGGGAAACTACTGGTGCGCTGGTTTAGATGAAGAAGATAAAAAGGCGAAGTTTTAATTGTGAACTGTCTAAATATTAAATAAATTCTACAACTAATGTTGTTTATACATTGTATACTCCATTTCACTCCTTGCATGAGGCGTTTTTTTCCAAAGATTTTAAAATGTTAAATATATTTTAATGCTTTTGGGTTATCCTTTTGTCAAGTAGTAGTTTGTATTTTATTTTGTCATTTAAAAAAAATTGTTTTGTTTTTATTATTTTTGCTAATACTTTGATATTTTTTCTTAAGTGCCCAATTATACATCAGTTTCCCTATTATGTGCAATGACAAAAATGCAAGTAATCATTTTTTAAGCTCTTATTTTTTTAGTGGTTCAATTGATACCACTTTTCCTTACTTATTTAAAATAAAATTCATTAGTTTAGATTTGTATTAAACATAGTAATAAATAAATAAAACTTATATAAACTGTATTTGTGAGAAAACGTTCTTTAATCTGCATATATGGATTCAAAGTAAAAATACAAGTATAACTGTATATAATGAAGTATAAATTCTATCATATACAACCAGATAAAAACAAGTAATTTAATTTTTTAAAAAAGTTTTATATGTGTCACAGGTTTGAAAAAATTCCTTTCATGGAGTATTATTCTTTAGTCTGTTTATGTATAAAAAGTTAAAAAGAGAAAACATCTTTTCTTACAAAAGTTGTTTCTTTTTAAACATTTAACGTAAGAGAGGACTTGCAATCAATTAAGTTAATAAATCATAGCTTCCGATTGATTTTTTTGATTATTTTTTTAAATAATACTTTACAAAATATGTTAAATGCAAAAGCGATTTTACGTAATAATGCAACAAGAACTTTTTCTAATATTTTGTTTGCTATTGAAAATAACAATATTGAAAATTAGCTTTTTCTATTGTTTTTCAAATACGCGTTCACACTTACCTTTACTTCATCACAAAACAAGTTATCTGAAAGAAAAAAAGTTTACTATTAGTTTCATTGAGGTCTATAACATTTGATTTATTTTTAAACATTTTTTATTTGTAAAAAATTATGATAAATTCTAACCAGCAAGTTATTAACCATTTATAATTTAATAAATACCTAAAGCCATTAGTATAAGTATGATTTTTGCAAGTTTTTTCATTTTTTAATATTTTTTAATAGTTTCAATTCTTTTTCTTTAAGTAAATAATACAATCACATAAAAACGTTTAAATTAAAATATTTAACACGCAAAAACAGAACTATAAAAGTTTTTTTTAAACGAGTTTTTTTCAAACTAATTAATAGGAAAAATGTTTAAAATTTTCAATAGAGTTATGTTCTTTAAATTGAAAAAGCATGAACAGTCTCCTATATAGTATAATAAAAGATCTCGCTGTTCCCAATTTTCTAAATATGTTTTAAATTTTAATTACTAAGCATTTTCATTTTATTTAATAAAACTAAGCAAAAACAAAAAAAAAATCTATTTGAAAATATTTATAAAGAAGTTTAATAATTAATGAACTTTTAAAAAAAAAAACTTTTCGATTTAAATTTTTTTTTATTAATCTGATCAAGTTTAATTA